TTAATTATTACCTACTTATTTTTAATCTATTGGTAAACATTTAACAATAATTTTAAAAAATTGTAATATGTATTCTTTGATTAATTATATGTTAACTGTACATCTATACAACTATTATACGTTTTTATACATGTCATTAAATATATCAAGGCTTGACAAACTATTAACATATGAGCCTATTCAGTTTTTAACCTAGTAAATTTATTCAGGGCCATATTAACCATTAGACACTAAAGGAACTGTATAGAAACTTCGAGAAATATTAAGCCTACCTACGAAAATAGGGTTTAGCCAATAAATATAGAAATTTTATTTAAAAAAATGTTTACCTAATCGTTTAGATAAAGTGTGAATGTGCCATGAAAGTACATTTAAATTAAAGCCCGTACAACACATTAGAATATGAAAGAATAGTGTTTGAACACTATCGCATGAATAATGTAAACAGTCCATCTTCACAAGGTGAACCATTCGTTCATGTGCGGTCATGATCGATTTAAGAGCTGTAAGATTAAAAATATCATATGCATATAATTTGTCTGCAAAGAAAATCTTAAAACTTGTATCCAATTTTCAAGCTTTAAATATTAAATTTAAAAGTTTTATGAGTTTTCAATTACAAACATTTTAGAGATTTTTCTTAAGACGGTTGGAAGCAGCGTATTTATTTCACGTTGTAGACCTAAAAGCCTGACAAGATTACGTATACTTAAAATCATAATTAAATTCTGTAAAAAGATTTGAGTGGATCAACCTTTTTCCTAGGTTAATGTGGAAATCGATTTTTAATATTTGTTTAAAAGTTGTCTTTAAATTTTAATTGAGTTTCTTAATTTTTTTTTAATTTTTAGATTTACTTTAGTGTCTTTTTAAGAATGTTAAACAGTGATTCTAAAATCGACTTACACAATAACTTAGAAAAAAGGTTGTTCAACTCAAATCTTTTTACAGAATTGAAATCCGATCATTTAGAGTTGACGTTTTTTTGTCAGGCTTGATTAATTTTCAGAGTTTCTTCGTTGGAACAAAATATTTTATTTCATTAAATGCAATGACTTGTACATGCGCGTGCAAACCATTAATTGTTTCCCCGAAACGTTAAATATCGGCGCTCAACGTCAGCCGCCTGTGAACCGATATTATATAGATCCCTATATAGTCTCATTGTGAATGTAAATAAATTGTGTTAACTATATTTATAATTTAGTATATTTACTGTAATGGATTTTTACACATACTGTACGATTATGCCACAATTACCTATGGGTTGAGTCTAGGGTTGCCAACTGTCCCGCGTGAGACGGGACGTCCCGTTTCCAGAGCTCAAATAATGCGTTCCGCGATGCGTATCTGCGGGACGCTCATTATCCCGCTTTTTGTAAGCCTGTATAAGTATTTTTATATAGAAACCTTATATTTTTACTGTGGGCATTTAAAACTATTTTCCGTCCGAAATTCCAATAGAGTCGATTGCACGAAACGGTTTAATCAAAAATTGGTAGTATTTATAGATTCAATTCAGTATTCAGTACACAATTACTTTTTCAAAAAGAAAAAATAATTGTCTTATGATAGGGTACCCTTAATCGGGAAAAGTGCTTTATTTACTAATTTGTGTTAAAAAAACCTTTTGATGACTACTTTAAAATAGCGATTATTCTGTTAATTTTATATGAATATTTTAAATTTTAAATACAACTGATAACAATTATTAAAATCATTTTCTCTTGTTTCTGTAAATTTGTAAGCATGTCCCGCTTTTTGTGTCAAGTTTCGCATATAAATATCTGGTTTCCCGCTTATCTGTAAATAAGAGTTGGCAACCCTAGTTGAGTCGACACAACTTACTACTTGTAGGAGCCATATCTAACGTTTAGTTTCAGACGTTTTAGTGCATTGTTACTTGATTTTATATATGGATTCATTACTTCCAGAAATAATCGATTCTAGGTTTGATCAAGGATTATCAATAAGGCCAGGTTATTCCCAATAAGACCAGGCATTCCCGAAAAAAAATTTAATACTACAATAGTTGTAGTATGATAATTATGATTATAGTTATTGTAATAAATTATATAAATATAATTACCATAAAACTTACGAATTTATTTGTTATGATTATAGCACCTTTAGCTTTTTATTTTATTTCTAATACATCTTGAATTAATTAATAATTAGATGTTATGACTATACGTTCTAAAAATTTTTTTTATAAAATTTGTGTTCAACCGATGATTCTCGCACTCGAATTGCAAATGCGTTATACTTATTAATTATTATGAATTAATAAATGATAATAATAATAATAATAATAATACTGAATAATATGTCTTGCGGTGTATAAACGACGACGGTAATGACTAGGGAACGGATTTATATGTAATAAAAATACATAAATATGTACATATGTATGTAAGTATAATTTATAAAATAAGTTCTAAAACCATCCAAATATGTAGGAAAAAAATTTAAAAAAAAAAAAAAATATAATTACTAAATTATCAAAATGATTTGTTGCATTGAATTATTACAATATATTTTAAATTATCAAATATTAAATGTCGCCTATTAGATCTGAAAATATTTTTAAAACGGCTAAATGATCGTTCCACATCAACCTACATCGGTTGATTTAAGCATGTTTGAAGGGCATATTATTAGAAGGCGATAATTCCAAATTTTTAGAAGGGTGTCTGCCACTAATTATGTTATTAATTGATTTAAAATCAATATGACCTGAAATTTTTTTCTGTAAAAACATGAATTTTCTTTTTTACTACTTCTCCTATTGGTCCGTTTACGAGTTTTCATTTTGCAATCGTTGATTCGACAATTTGCATACTTTCATTCAAGGACATATTTTTGTTTTTAATTTTATAATTGTATGTGCAATAAAACTAAAATTCACTGAGATGAAAATTAAATTTGTTTTCAATGTTTCATTTTGCATAATATTTTGAGCTTTTCTAATAGCGATAAAAGTTCTGAATCTAAATTTGAAATAATTTTTTATATTTTTGTATGAAGAAGACGTATGAATGATGAAATAATAAAATATGTTTAAAAATATTTACAAATTAGTGAAATATGTAAAAATATGTAATTATACCAAAATATGTAAAAATATGTAAAATAAAAGTAGCATCATATTAATAGGAATGATTTAAATTATGAACATTTTTTATCAAATTTTAAATATCTTGTTTTAATAAAAATATGTATTTACATATAAATCCGTTCCCTAGTAATGACTAATGACGGTCCGTTTGCTGATAAAGTCGGAGCTTATTATTTCGGGGAAGTCACACACAGACTAATAATCTAATGCACACACTCGCAAGGCTTAACATCACGCGTATAAGGTATTGTCTATACTCAACCTCTTAAAAAAGGTCCACTCCAACCCCTATAACATTTAATTTTTAAATGCTCATATTTTTTTTTTAATTATGATCCAATTTTTTAAATTTATATTAAGAGATAAAGTACGAGGAACTTCATGTTAAATATTCAAGACTTTTTGTCCAACCAAAGTTATTTTATTGACATTTTATGAATAAAAGCTAAGCAAATATGAAATATTCAAATATTTATGAATATCTAAAAAAAAAATTATCAAAATATTTTGATAGTTATATTATCTATAGCGAACGGTGATATAATTTAGAGAAAATGTCTAGACACGTCAATTCCTATTTTTTGAGTTGCGATGAAAAAAAACTCGATTTTGTCATAAACTTGTATACCGCAAATGTCATTTTTATAACTTTGTGTCGATTTTTTTGCTATTATTAAGAGAATTATTGCGAATTTACCAACTACCATAGTACCACCTAGACAGCATTTCCTATCACAAACCTATGATTTTTTTTAATCGGAACAATCTTGGTTGAAATTGTGTACACATACACATAAGAAACATCATTGCAAAACTAAAACATTCATCGTTTCACTTTGAATCTAAAAAAATATTTAATAATTACTCGTAGTAATTATAAGTCAATATTGTGTAAAAATCTATGACAAATATGAATGATGATTAAAATATTATTAATTTCCATGTTATTAAATTTATATAAGTTACTTTAATAGATTCTAGAGGTTAAATGATATTTATTCAGTTTACGGAATTATCATTTGGGATGCACCTGTTATTATATAAAAAATAATATTCAATCATTTTTCCGGAACCCAAGTACATGCCGTCATTATTTATATATAAACTACTTTCTAACATCGTTCGTTGAGATTGTTCGTTCAAGAATTATAAGAGTATAATGTTTAGGTGTAATATTTTATATTTCTTATAAATTGATTCATTAAACGTATTATAAACGTTATTGAGAGTTGACGTCTAGTGATTTGGTAGTAAGAATTAACTTTTAATCCGTAGATGAATCATTATTGTGCCCTTATAAAACTATAAATACAATTTATTTGTATTTATATATATTTATGTATAAGTATATACATATTGTATAGTTATAATCATAGTATAGTATTACATATATGATATAAAATGTGTCTGTGAGTACACGAGTATTTATCTACATAATTTTGACAGCTGTTTTTGCAGTTATGGTGTAAGGTACTGATTAAGACTTGACATTTTCCACAATCGCCGCATTATATAATTTTTTTGAATATTTAAATCCTCGGTAACAGTATTTGTAGTGTTTACTAGTGGTTTTATATAACACTTTTTTTAGAAACTTTATGAATATAACATGTAGTTATAAAAACCTTGAGATAAATTGATAATGAATGTTAATTACTACTATTCCGATAACTGTTAAAATAAAACAGTTATAAAATAATAAAAAATAAAAATGAAATAATTTAATTACTTGTATTATTAATTAAATGTTAGTTTATATATAGAAATAAATAAACCGGTCGTATATTACAAATAAAATAATACTCCAGGCTAAGTTTTTATTTATATAAAAAACAGTTATTAAATGATTTATGATTATTTACTTATTTACCAATTTTTTCAGTTAAAAGGGAAGATAGACGAGACCAATAGCACAGTAGAAATAGTTGATAAATTCAATAATTATCAAATATACCCTCGCATTATAAGCATTGTTTCAAAAGATTATTTTAAGTTTTTTAAGGTAAATATTTTTGTACCTTCATTTTATTTTTAACCTTAGACTTTGAATTTAAATTTGTGTTTACGTCGTAATTAGGTAAATTTACGAAGAACTTGTCCATTTTGGTCAGACAATAGTAAATGTGCTATGAGATATTGCCAAGTGGAATCCTGCCAGTTGGTAAATAATCTAGACAGTTTTTACTTTTTTTTATAAATTACCTAGTTTCATTATCTTTTTTATTCTTTTTAGGATGATGTACCTATAGGTCTTAAAGGCAGTCATCATAGTTTAGTAGATGAAGATATGTCAATTAAGGTGCGTATCTTATGATACTAAATACTTTATTTTATATGTATAAAATTGAAAATATGTATATTTTTAAAAATACTTACATGATATTATGTTTCCTAGTGTGGCTGTTGTTTGTCAATTTGGTGTCCATTATATGTTCATACATACGTAATCCATTCCATTTTACCTTTGTTTTAAAATCCTCAATCCAATTTATTTGCTTTTATTTTAATTTTATTTTTAAGTAATAGTGAGACAATATTTCTCTCTACAGTATATGGAAGGACCACAACAACAAGAATGCGAAGGAGCAATGCAAGATGAATTAGGTTACATTAACACTACTATAAGGTTAGTATCATATTTGGTAAATAATTCTTAAAAACTAAGATATAAATATTTTTTTTCATGCATATACTTATATTATAGTTGAATTATTGTTAGTTATTTATACTCAAAAGAAGTACATAAGTGTTCGTTTTTTTTTTTTTTTTTATAATAATATAGGTATATAAATATTGTGTTCAAGAATTGTTATAATATACGTATCTTTATGATTTTCGTAACAATATACCAGGGGTGGGGAAACTGATAGCCCGTGCTATATTTTCAAATTACATCATAAAATTTTAAAGTTAATCGTTTATACCAGTGGTCGGCAACTGGTGACCCGCTGGCCGCATTCGGCCCACTTGTCTCTTTTATACGGCCCGCATTAAATTCCAAAACCAGGATATGTCATTGAATATCATATCAATTTTGTGTATTGTCTGGTCCGTGAATCCTTTTCAATTTGTGAATGTGGTCCAAGGGCCCAAAAAGATTGCCGACCACTGGTCTATACTCTATCTTAACAGTATAATTATTTTTATCTGGTATTAAACATCGTTAAATGTCTATATGAAATATGTCATAATAATAATAGTAGAGTAGTATAGATTCATAATAATATTAATCTAAATGTCATATGTATGTATACGCATTTTGTATGTCGTGTGTGTTGAATTTATTATTTCCGTATTCAAAAATGCTAATTAAAATGCATGTATTATATATGACTGTTTTTTTCTACGCTCTGGCTAGCTAGATTTTAATTTTCTAAAAATTGGCCCACTAGTAACTTTGAGTTGCCTATTCTGCTATATACTATTTATTATTTATAAATTAAGAAAGTGATTATTGTGGAAGTTCAAAAATAAGATACTAATGTTCTTTAGAAATGTTTTCTATTTATAATAGTGGGTTCATAATTTTTCCCATCAAGACTTCCATCGAGTACATTAAATACGAAAGTTTTAATAATTTAGTTATTGAGTATAAAAACAAAAACATCTCGACCTTTGCATAGTTGGAAAATTTGAAATCACATGGTGTCAAAAAATGTACATTACTTTAACTTCATTGATAGAATTATAATTATTTATATTATTGTTGCTTATTATTATATTTTAATATACGAATATACAGAAACACGCTTTAGACGCTGTTTTCCGTCGGTCCCTATAATGCCCTGCTAAGCAAAAGTACCGTAAAAACCAAATTATTAGTTTTGAGAAAAATGCAGTTTTGTATTTTTCATTTTATTATACTTTTATTATTTGTTAGTCTATTTGATTTAGTATAAAACATATCTACCTTAATACTTTTTTTTGACGAGGAATGCAATGAAATAATAATTTAAAAGTATAATTCGCTTATTATACGAATAAAAGTTACTTTTATCTCATTATTTAGCAATATAAGTTGTTAATAATTTTATGTATTAAAGATAAACGCCGTAAATAAATTTTACGGCATTATTGCTTAATAATAATAAATTGTCTAAAAATGTATTTACTAGACTAAAATGTCGTATATAAATTTATATAAATAATTAATTTAAATATGGCAAAAAATTATATCAAGTAGGTATAATGGTTGTAAACATGAGTTTTATAACAAATTAATCAATTTTATCGTTAAATTAAAAAAGTAATAATAGTTTAATAATTATGAATTGGAATATTTTCCCATAATTGTTTCCTATTTTGTGGAATAACTTGTATCAAGTTTTTGTGAATGTCATTTCTTTTTTGAACATGAATGCTACAAGGTCCTTTCAATAGTTGAGGTGTAGCCATTCCGGATACTTTCATAACACTTTTTTTTAAAAAATTCTCCACAATGGTCCTCCAAATGGAGAATAAAAATCAATACAGACAAGTCCTTTCACATTCCTTTTACTTTAAGAAAAGCTGTTCTTCCTACAATCTATTTTCAAAACAATCCAATCCAAACCACAACTCAAACCAAATACTTAGGTCTAATTTTAGACAAGCGTCTAACATGGGGCCCACACCTCAAAATTAAAAGAAAGACTCTCAACACCAGACTTCATCTACTACGTCCTATCCTCAAGTCCAAACTCTCTATTGAAAACAAATTACTATTATACAAATCAATGCTAAAACCTATCTGGGCATATGGCATACAAATTTGGGGATGTGCCAAGCCTTCCCAAATACGGACCATACAAGCCTTCCAATCTATTTCCCTTCGCCTAATAACATCCGCGCCATGGTACGTCTCAAACCTCTCACTTCACAAGGATCTTAAAATTGAAACAAACTCCAAAACAGCCAAAAACTACTACAAAAAGTTACACACCAAAACAGCTAACCACACAAATCCATTGATTTCCAACTTGGCCAGTGAATTCATGCCTAATAACCCCCCTCGTCGATTAAAAAGACACTGGTGTCGTGATCTCCTAAATCCCGACCTGCACTAATTGAAAAAAAAAAAAAATTAAATTAAAAATAAAATAATATAAAGCTCTCTCCCCCAAGTTAGAGGGTATCCACACTGGTGGACCTCCCTCCTTACGCCATTCACGTTATACATATCCTTTTTTTTTTGTCATCATATTTACTTATTGTATGTATATAAATTACAGATTGTATATATTCTATTTTATCTATTAAAAAAAAAAAAAATCGAATATTCCCGTCGAATCTTTATAACATATATTTAATTATATTATTATTTCTATTTTATAACTATATAGTTAAATTTTTTCTATTAATTTTCTTACTAAGTGTGGAAGGTATCACATTGAGCTCCGGGTCGTAAATAAACTCTTCTTGTGAATCCATTAATTTAATTTTTAAATTGTTTTTTACCCTTACAAAGGGATAATGTCCACCTATTATCCTAAACGAACAAACTCTACCAACCACGCAATCCATCCGCTACCTAGGCATGACTATCGACCAACGACTTACTTGGGCTCCACATCTACGCAACAAAATCTCAACTCTAAACCAGTAGTGGCCAAACTACGGCCCGCGAAAGTATTCTACATTACAACTTTTATTTGCGTAACTGTAATATTTTACATTTACGTAAAAAAAAAAAAAATTGAAAAATACATTTTTTATGGTCCGCGGTAAAAAAAAGATATATTTTTATGGTCCGAGGTAAAAAAAGTTTGGCCATCACTGCTCTAAACGATCGTTTTCGTCTTCTCCGTCTTCTTCTAACTTCTAATCACGTAAAATTACAAACCAAACTACTAATCTATAAACTTTTTCACAAACCAATGTGGGCGTATGGAATCCAACTTTGGGGTTCAGCAAAGTTCTCTAACATCAACAAAATACAGCGTTTCCAATCAAAAACCTTCCGAACTATTACCAAAGCCCCCTATTACGCATCAAACCATTCCCTACATAATGATCTTGCCATCCTCCCCATCCAAGATATTGCTAAAACCTTCTATAAACGATTCAACTTAAATTTTAAAAACCATACAAATTCAGTAATCAAAGATCTGGCCTCAAAAAATATACTTGAAAACCCAAAAAAAAAATTAAAAAGGCGGTGGTGTCGAGACCTACTAACTTAATAATAAAAAAAAAAAAAACTGTAAATACCACAATTGTAATAATTATTCCTATCGCTTGTTTCTTTATTACTATTATTATTATTTAAATAGCTAACCTAAATTATTGTTAAAAAACCGCCTAAGTGCTTTGACCGGGAAGGTTCTTTACTCTGTTTGTTACTCACGACGAAAAATATGTACCTTAATTGCACTTATTGTTCCATTTGCAACAAATTGTGTTAAAAAAGATTAAAATTTCAATAAAAAAAAAAAAAAAATTAAATTGTTTAAAATAAAAGTTCACTAACGTCGTAATGAAATAAAGTACGTATTCTTAACAGCCGTGCATATAATACTGACAACAAATAATAATCTGAAAAAAAGTCACATTACTATAATTTTATTTTAATATATTGATGAGATAAAACAACCATAATAAAGTCGTTAACTTTTCAAATAATATTGAAGAAAAAAAGTCCAAATGTTAGATAATAACGCCGTAACTCAAGTAGAACATGGAAATGTTATGCGAAAACGCCGTATGTATAAACATATTTAAGGCGTTTATGCTTAGTAAGTGTAAGATGCGGCATTCTTACTTAATACTTCTAATTTTTTTTGTTACTTACGGCGTTTTTAAATCTAAATAATTGATTTTATTGCCTATTTAAAGTCATTTTAGGGGTATTTTATCTACATTTATAGTGATAAATTTATCGTCACTAACTCGTTTTTTTTATTTTTTTCGAGTTACGGCACTTTTGTTTAGCAGGGAAGTGTACTAGTCAATATAAAAATTACCACTTAAGACTAATTCATTTTTTATTAAAAATATATTGTAAATTTTAATATGATGTATGCCTAAGCTTACATTAGTCATGGAATTACATCTGATGCGGAAAATGTAAAATTCCTCAAAATTTCAAAAATTTTAACCACACGAACTTAAAAAATGTTGAAAATGTACATGATAGTAAACAGGGATAACTTAAACTTTACACGCAATGTTTTTTATTTTCTAGAGTAAAAGAGTGATTTACTTGTAACCTCCCAATTAAAACAGTTATAACTTAAAAACTGTTGAGATACAAACGAAGGGACTAGAGGTACAATCAGGTACAAACAAGGTACAAACGATTGGGATCGGATAGGACCCGACATTTGAAAGTGGGGGGTACTGGGGAAACCTTTCTGATTCACATCTTTTTGAAATTCGAAAAGTATTGTTCTCTGTAAAAAATGCCGAAGAAATATTAGGTTATATCAACAAAATCAAAAACTTTCTTGCTGAAACGCATTGTCAGAATCTTAAGCGAACAAATTTTTTTTTAATATGTAATAAAATTGAAAAATGGTAATAATAAATATACATACCTATTTATATTAATAAATGTATGTATAATAGCAAAAATGATATGCAATTATAACTTATAAATGTTTTACTTGTTTAATTATGTTCCATAATAAAATAATAAACTATTTACTTATATTTCAATAATTTTATTTTTTTTTCAATTCCCGCATAAGACGCTTTCCCGTTTAAAACGCTCTAATGAGGTAATTCCATAAAGAGCGTCTTAAGCGAGTTTTACGGTAGGTAATTTAATTATTAGTATAATTAAAAAATAAAATAAAACAAAGTTTTTGTCACCAAATTACTTTACTGTTTTGTTTTAAGGCGTTTTAAGGTTATTGCATTTATAATGATTGTATGATATTTAACATTGTTCATTTGATTTTAATATAATAGCGTAAACCGATGTTAATCTTAATTAAAACTGTTGTGCCTTGTGCGCTTATGTGAATTTTGGTAATAATTTTTAAAATCAAATTGCTAAAACAGTTCTTTTGCAGAAAGTGTGGGATAAATATTACTAATTTTCGCGTGACGTCTGAATAATGTTCGTTGCTATGTTGAATATTAGGGAGACTTCAGTTAATTATACAGACCATTATTGCAACGTAGTGGTCAAATATCCTTATGATTTATTTTCCTATCCCTACGTTTCTATACTTCTACATAAACATAAATATAAACATAAACTTACTTAAACATAAAAACATAAACTATATTCATTATGTTAATTAAATTAACAACTATTACAAATTATTTTTACTCCAATCATTAACGTTATGTCAATGATGCATGTTAATATGAAAAGATGAATAATTTTAATATCAAGCTGTATCTATGTAATAAACTTTGATATTTAATTGTAACTTCTTTTTTTGAAACAGATTCAATCATTACTACAAAAAGAACAATTCCATTGATAAGTATGACATAATTAGAGTAAAATTAAAAACTAAATTAAACATTAAATCAGCTAAAATATAAAATTAAATATATACTAATTTCTTTTATTTATATATTTACTTTATTCTACTTGTACATTAAGTTTTGCGCTATAAAGTCTAATGGCCATAGCAGTCACATATTGTAAAATAATAAAAAAAAAAATTAAATATAAATATCGACTTGACTTATAATATATACTTCAAACTTTTTTTTATGGCCTATTCGAGGCCGTTTAGAGCCATCGCTGCTTCCAATATGCCTCTCCACGCCTCTCTATCCATCGCTAATCTTTCTCTATCTCTGATTCATAAGAGTTTCAGATCTTCTTTTATTCGGTCGCTCCACCGCTGTCTTGGTCGTCTTCTTGATCTTGTTCAATCTGGCTTCCACATTGTAACGTTTTTTATTATACTACCTTCCGCTCACTATATATGTCCTGCCCAGCTAAGTCTTCGACTCTTTAGAACACCTACTATATCAGTTTCATTAAACAATTCTCTTAGTTCTACTTTTGTCCTTCGTTCGTATTCGTTGTTTTCAGTATTCTTTTTAGGACCGATGCACAGACGCGTATTTAAGGAAAAACATGGTCAAAACCGAAAGAAATAAAAATAACTGAATAAGATAACTATTGACGGTAATTTAAAGATTACATATCAGAGTACAAAGTTCAGTTAGATAAACAATCTTAGTGATGACAAATCGAATAGTAGATACCCAATCTATTTGTTCACCACAACTCACAAGTGAATACTATAAATAGTGTTTTATAGTTTTGCCTTAATATAATTTTGTTTTACACTTCATATTTAAGTAGTTTATTACATTAAAAATAAACGTTATTTGTTAGTTATAAAAGATGGAATCTATCCCTGGAGGTAATTATATTTATCGTACTAATTTTAGCAATAAAATATAAGTTACTAAATATCATATAAAGTGTATAGTTATATATATTTTACATTCCGGATCAAGCGAGATCAACTTAAAATTGTAACAGATTTTAATAGTCATACTTATAACAAATATATTAAAGCAAAAAATATTTGCTAATATCTGCGATATTAGTCAAAATTAATTAAATCATATTAAAAACCTGTAAATATACAAAAAAAAATATTTATAATTTTATTAAATATTTTTATATAAATTACTTATTTTATTTTTACTGCACGTAAACCTATATTTTATAGTTATTAGGATCATATTAAATCATAAATAAATTATTCTTTTAAAACTTATACTATTTAAAAATTAATTTTTTATATAGGATCTCGATGTAATGATATTGTTCTTAGTAGAAGAGACTTGTATACAATTTTAAAAGAAGGTTCAACAAAATCGAAACATCCACATGGAAATTATGAACACTTAACAAAATATATACTAGAAATTACTAAATATCCAAATGAATTACCGAAGGATATAAAAAAGGTTTAATCTTATTTTATTTCCCAGTTTAATACCAAATGGTCTGCATCATCTCGAAACGTAGATTATTTTTTAAAAAAAAATTTTGGTTGGTTGGAAACTAAAATAAGTTTTCCTATGTACAAAGCTTCTTCATTTTCTTCAAATGATATGAAAGTTAAGGGTGGAAGACCAAAAGTGGATTTCTCTAAGAGTAGTGAACGTACAAAACGTAGAAAAACTCAATTATTAAGGTCCGAGGTAGGTTCTTTAGAATTATCTTATGCGGCTCAGATGAGTCTCCGTGCAAGTGGCCAGTTAGATGCTGCTAATGTGATAAAAGATGTGACATTAACAACACCTAAACGAGCAGAAAAATATAGAAAGGCTTATAAAGAAACGTCAAAATCAGTTATGCCACAGAAGTAATTACTATTGAAACCAAGAACAAAGAAAATCAAATAAAATCATTGATTCCTTCTTCTTTTATTTTTAATGATCGTGAAGTGGTAGTAAATTATCAATTATTATTTACAATGGTCGACGGAAAAGTATGCAATGCAGTGTGTGATAATAAATCCACGTTAAAATGTTACATTTGTGGTGCAACATCTAAGGATTTTAATGACATTAATAATATAACTCGTATAAGAATCGACGAATCGAACATAAAGTTAAATTTTGGGCTATCTATATTACATGCCTGGATACGATTTTTTGAATGTTTGCTTCATTTAGCTTACAAATTAAATGTAAAAAAATGGCGAGTATTAGATAGCAAAAGTAAGGAAGTTATTAAAACTAATAAAATTAGAATTCAACAAGAATTTAAATCACAATTAGGACTAATAGTAGATAAACCAAAACCTGGGTTCGGTTCCTCAAATGATGGAAATACGGCACGCAGTTTTTTTGAAAATTCTTTCATATCATCTTCTATAACTAGAATAGATGAAGGTATAATAAAACAATTTCAAGTTGTACTTTTAGTCATATCAAGTGGTTATAATATAAATGTGGATAAATTCAAAATTTTTACTCTTGATACGGCAAAAAACTTTGTCAATAAATATCCATGGTATCCAATGTCTACAGCTGTACATAAAATTTTAATTCATAGTTCAGAAGTTATATCGTCTTGTATCTTGCCTATTGGTCAATTGTCCGAGGAAGCGCAAGAGGCACGTAATAAGAATTTTAGAAAATATCGTGAGGACTTTTCACGTAAAATGTCAAGAAAAGTTACAATGGAAGACGTTTTCAATCGTCTTCTTGTATCATCAGATCCATATATATCTAGTATGAGAAACCTGCCAAAAAAAGAACTGAAAACTTATTCTAAAGAAGTTTTAGACTTGTTACAACCTCCTGATTATAATTTAGACACCGAAAAAAATATTAACGATTCCAGTTCAGATTCTGAATATAATTCCAGTACAGATAGTAGCGACTAGCGAATGGAAGTTTATTTTTTAAAAAATGTTTATTTATTTTTTATTTTTTGTATGTTGTATTTCTTATTTTAAAGATAATGTACAAAATCATAAGTTTATTTATAACTTGCTCTAAAAATAAATTAAATTTGCAACTTTAATGAATATTAATAATGTATTATCACCTTGGAATGTTATTTAAGTTATGACCATGTTTTTCCTTAAATACGCCACTGTGCGATGATCCTCCTTAGTATTTTCCTCTCAAACGTCATTAGCTTCTTCTCATCTGCCTTCGTTGATGCCCACGCCCCGCAAGTGTACAATACTATAGGCTTGACCAGGGCTTTGTAAAGTCTGATTTTTGTCTTCTTGATAGTAGTTTTTACTTAAACAGCGTTACCAATGAAAAATAACACTTATTCCCTGCTATTATTATACGATTGATTTCCTCATGGCTATTTGCCTTTTCATTTACGTCTACTCCAAGATATTTAAAGTAATGTACTTTTTCAAATGTCATATCTCCCACTAAAATTGAATTTTGGTGATGTTGCCTCTGTGATACAATTAGGTATTTAGTCTTGTCTTCATTGATGTTTAGACCTATACTTTTTCCTTCCTCTATTAATTTATTTGCTGTGTTTCTTACTTGGTCTTCTGTTTCATCTATTATAATTATATCATCCGCGTACGCTGCCGTCACCACATTTTGTTCACCAATTTTTAAACCTATGGAGTCGTCTTGCATTTTCTTTACCACTGACTCCAGGGCAATTTTATAGAGTATAGGGGATAGTGCATCTCCTTGTCTCAGATCCGTTTCTACTGGAAAATCTTCTGACATTACTGAGTTGAACTTTACATTTTAAATTTTGAACACAAACCTTCACTAATCTCACAAGTTTTACCGGTATTCCGAGTTCAATCATAACCCGTCAAAGACTACTTCTCTTGATAGAGTCGTAGGCTTGTTTGAAGTCTGCAAATAGTAAGTATATATATTCGTCGAATTCATGGCTTTTTTCCATCATTTTAATTATATGTAATTGTTCTACAGTTGATTTACTTTGTGTGGACCTCGCTTGGTAATCTCCTATTATCTCTTTGGCGTATGGTTTTACCTTATTTAGTAACATATTTGACAAAACTTTGTACGATGTATTAAGAAGTGAGATTCCCCTATAGTTCTGGCAATACATAGCATCTCTTTTTTTATATATCGGACATAATAGCGACGTATTTCATTTTTACCATCATGGTATCTTCTCATCGTTCCATATTTTTTCAATTAATTGTTTTAACGTAGTAATTAAGGCTTTTCCTCCTCTTTTCAACATTTCTGCTGCAATCCCATCTTCCCCCGGTACTTTCCCGTTCTTAAGCATACTTATCACTTGTTCAATTTCTTCTTCTGTAGGTTTCTCTATATATTGTTCAACTGTAGTAATTTTCTCCCCTGACTCATTTTGGGTAGACTGATTAAGCATTATTTCAAAAACGTTTTTGAATTCACCGACCACTTCTGTTTTTTCTGTTATAAGTAACCCATCTTTGCTTTTCATTATTGTTGACTTTGCCTTGATTCCGGTTTTGATTCCGTTTGCTTTTTCAAAGAAAAGTTTCGTATTATTCTTTAACTGTTTTCTAACATTTCTATCCTTATTTTTTCCCACTCTCTTTTTTTTCTTCTGATTGTACGCTTTGTTTCTCTCTGTTTTGTAGCCAAAATTCTCTTATTATTTTCGGTAGGGTTTTTAAGTACTTCTATTCATGCTAAATTTCTTTTAGCCATTACCCTCTTGCAGCTTTCATCGAACCATTTATTCTTAGTTTTTTTTTTCTTGAAACCTCAAGATTTCAATTTCCACTTTCTTTCTTGTGCTCTGTAATACTCCACATTTCGTTTGGATTGTTTGTTTCTTATATCGATTGTAATTCTTCTGTTAGTTTTCTTTTATACTGTCCTTCCACTGCCTGATTTTTTAAAGCTTCTGTACTCATCCATTTGCGCAGTGCTGTTCTTTTTTGCCGTTCAACTGACAGTCTAATTTTGATATTAATTTTTACAAGAAAATAGTCCGATATTGCACTACTTCCTCTCATACTCCTAACATTTGTAATCCATTTCCTAATTTTTTTTCCACTATGACGTAGTCTATGTGTGACTAGATGCCGACACCCAAGTTTGCTTGTGTATATTTTTGTGTGGAAATGTTGTGCTACTAACTATTATATGCCTTGTCATAGTAAAATTAATTAATTTAGTGCCATTATCACTTGATTCTTCATGAAAGCTGTGTTTCCCAATTGTTGGCCTGTATATTAATTCGTGTCCTATTTTTGCATTAAAATCTCCTACCTGGTATTTTACTTTATTTTACGGTATAAAGTCATAAACTGCATCCAATCTTTTTAATTTTTTATCTTATCCTCTTTATCTTCGGTTGGTGCATAGCAGTTAATTAGGACTATATTTACCCATTTGCATTCTATTTCCATAAAACATATCCTGTCATTAATCGTCTCAAATTTTTTAACTTTCGGCAATATCTTGTCATTTACAATAAATCCAACTTAATTTTTGTACTCTGTTCCACCACTATAAAAAAAGGGTCTAATTTCCAGTTCTTTGATTTCCATTCTCTCTGGCTACCTTATTTCTTGAATCGCTACCATGCCCAGTCGATATCGTTCAAGCTCCGATATCACTGTCGTCAAATGTCCAGCCCTATACAATGATTGCTTATTCCAAGTTCCAGTTAAAAAATCCTTAAGTTCCATTTTCATTCGAGGCATATTAGGTCGATTCGTAACCAGTTTTTTTTTTTACATGTAGGGTGGTTAGCCCTACGATAACCCCCATTAATGGAGGGCTCAACTGGGCGGTGGTGGTGCTTCAGTGCATGATGTGTCGCTAAGTGTCACTTAGTGTACGCCTACTTACCTGAGACGATCCTAAACATCCTTCAGGCTGCACCACCACCTGGCTGAGGTCCGCGGGATTGTCACACCCGTTATCCTGTGAAGGATACCCCAAGTGGGCATACTTTAAACTTATCTATTCTTATTCATATATTATCCTTTTTTCTATCTTAAGATCTTTAATGTAACATGTAACATTAAAAATATTAAATTTAAAATCAGTCTGTGGAATTTATTGATCTGTCAATCTGTGAAAATGTTAAGGGATGAACGGATAGCAATTATTAGTATAATTGTATAATGTTTAGTTTTATTTAAAAAAACATTTTCAATAAATCGATTAGATATTTTATTAATAATATGTAATGTAATGTAATATTTTTTATTGTAAACAATAAATATTTACGCCCAGAGGCAAGAGTACCTACAGTTTAAATATAAAGACAAAATAGGTACACATTTAGAATTTTTATAATACTTTTTACTTTGAACATAAATAACTTGGGGATCAAAAAAAAAAATCAAAGTTTTCTAATGAATTGCAGTTATACATAATTATATTTAAAGGAGAGTGTAGGCTATAGTTTTGTTTAAATGGTTGGATATAAAATGAGCTAGTGGTGCGAAGATTGTGTGTAGGAACATTAAAAGAGATATTGGAGAGTAATTCAGAGCAATCTATTTTATTATTTAACAATTTATACATAAATTGAATGTCAATATTAAAACGTCTTTTTTCAAGAGATGCGATATTTAATTCTGAAGCTAATATAGGAATTGATATATTTATTTTCCCTGATTTATATCTTAGAAAATGAATAAATCTGTTTTGTATTTTTTTTTTTTTTTTGATTTTTCAATTTGACCTGATTAATAGGGATTTCAAATTAAGGAACCGTATTCAACAATTGAACGAATTAACTTAAAGTATAGTACTTTTAAATAGTTTATATCATTAAAATGCCAAAAGGTGCGTTTTATAAATTCAAACATTCTTTGTGCTTTATTATAAATATATGTGATATGTTCACTAAATGATAGATTGTTTGAAAGTATTATATCAAGATCTTTAACATTAGATTTTGTACTAAGAATATTATATAGATAGTGTATTTCCAGACTATGGGTTTCTTACGTTTTGTAAATGTAATTTTGGAGCATTTAGAAATATTAATTTTAATTTGATTACGAGTACACCATGCTTCAAATTTTTTTAGGTCTTCTTGTAATTTTTTACAATCATTATTTGTGTTTATATTCAGGTAAATTTTTAAATCATCAGCAAATAGAAGGTATTTACAATAATGGAATTCATTGTAGAGGTCGTTAATAAAAATATTGAAGAGTATCGGTGATAAATTACTGCTTTGAGGTACTCCTGATGTAACAATGATTTGATCGGTTATATAATAATGCATTTTTACTCGTTTTTTATCAGTAATGTAAGTACAAAGCCATGACAACATTGGATTTATCACCCCTAGATTTTCTAATTTGTGCATTAATAAGAAGTGGTTTATGCTCTTGAAAGCTTTTTTTAAATCCGTATAGATAACATCAACCTGTACTTTTGCCTGAATTATTGAAACTAAATCTTGGTAAAAAATCATTAAATTTAAAATCGTTGAATTAGATTTACGGAAACCATGTTGGTTATCTGAAAGGGTATAGTTAATAATAATTAACTATAGATGTAATTTTTGGTTCAATAAGTTTTTTAAATGATTTGGCTAATACATTTAATTTGGATATTGGACGATAATTATGAATATCAGATTTGTACCATGATTTAAAAATTGGGTATGTGTAATTATTTTTCCAGTAGGTTGGGAAAATACCTGTTGATAATGAAAGAGAAAATAGGAAATTGGACGTGCGTCCAATGAGTATTTATACGTAATGAGTATTTACAATTTAGAAGTAAAATGGGAGTAAAAAATCGGGGTCAAATTTTATATCGGGTTTTAATGATGATAATTTGTTGAACACTTCTGATAATGATAGATTTATATTAGAAATATTTATTACACCATTATATTTATGTGTATTAGAAATGTTAGAAGATGTTGATAAAGGTGAGTAAACAGAGGCAAAAAATGATTTGAACATATTATTTATTATATTTAGGTTAACGGAAGTATTATAATTTAGGTGCATAATATTTGGTAAACAATTGATTTGTTTCTTGTCTTTTACATATTTCCAAAACCTTTTAGAATTTTTTGTTAAATTTTTTGAATATTATTTATATAGTTTTTGTAACATTGTTTTGATAAACATTTACATTTTGCTTTGACATTTGAGAATTTTTTGAAATCAACTTGATTTTTAGACTTTTTTTATTTACTATGTAGTTTATTTTTTTTTAATATTAAAAAACGTAATTTTTTAGAGAACCATAGAGGGAATGATGAATTACGGGGCTGTTTTTTAGGGACAAATAAACGTATGGCTTCGTTGATTATGTTATAGAAACGGGTAATAGCGTTATTAATATCGTTGCATTTATATAAAATGCATCAATCTATTTCGTCAAAGTGTAATATCATATCATTATAATTAGCATGTTTAAAATCAAGGTATTCAGGTTTATTATCATGTTGGTTGAAATAGTTTAAATCTAATGTAATATTAAGCGCAGGATGGTAACGGTTAATTGGAAGTATTTTTGCATGAATCAACAATTAAGTTTTTATAATTAGTAAATATTAAATCTAGAGGGTAGTTAAATTCATTAGTTACTGAATTTAGTTGATATAGATTATGTTCAGAGGAACAGTTAAATAATATTTCAGCTTTATGTGATTTATCACCATTATATTTGAGTCCTATATCATTATTATATAAATGTATATTTGGTAGGTTATAGTCACAAGCTAATATTAAACTTGTATCCATATCAAAGTTTGATAAAAGTCATTCAACTGTATTAACGTGCTCAGTGTATAAGTTAATTTGACTCGATGGTGGAATATAACATGGTCAAAAATATAACATCTAACATGATCCAATAATACATTTTAATTTATCATTAATAGTAACTAGCACATAAACCTGTTCGAGACTATCAATTGGGATTGTTATAAATTTTGAATTTAAACTTTTATGGACACACACTGCAACTCCGCCTCCTCTACTGTGGGTACATGTTATTGAATTTCTTTCTAAGCAATAAACGTTGAAATTAACAAAACCTAATTCAGCACTAAATATATCATCACTAAGCCAGGTTTCAATTAGTATAAAAAATTTGACATTAAATAATGGTATATTGATATTTTATTTATGAAACTTTGTTCGTAAGCCTCTTACGTTTTGATAATAACCAGGTAAAATAAATGTTGGAACACTTTGATTTTCTTTTTTTCAGTTATTAGGAGGGGGATATTACATTTGGGTTAGCATTTTTATTACATAAATATAATTTATTAGAGTATCTTACATTTGACTTTGTAGCTGTAGGATTTGAAATGAATCTTAGTTTTTTCCAGAATAGTTGGGACGCCTTTAACGAAGTTGATATAAAGATTCGATTCACTTTTATTTTTACGTAGTTTTCATTACATACCAATGCTCAAATTGGAAAAAAAATTAAGGACGCACGCTGGTTTTAGTTCAAAAAACACCGTTCCATAGCTGATAAATTGTAAAGTAACTTCGTCCCCCATGCCCCCAAAAATATAATATTTCACTATAAAGGTAGTATGATTTATAATATTTATTTGCTTATTACTATAACATTATTTTATAACGAAATAATAATATTAATTACAGAAATAAATATTAATCTTTAATTAAATTCCACAATGATTTGTATGCATTTTCTTCAGTAATTTTTATCTTTTTAGGACAATTTTATTTCTCTCCTGTTCGTTTGCCTTTCTTAGCCCACGATTCAATCCATTTTGTTGTGTTAATCTTGTCTATTGGTGGAAAATTAAACAAAAAGTTGTTAAAAGGTCAAAAGTAGAAACACTTATACGACTATACAACCGAAATCACTTCAAAATTATATAGTTATTCAGCCATGATTATTATCTTAGTCAGTGATTAACGTCGACGATAACCGTTTTCTGGGAAAAAATAACCATTACTTTGTAGTTAGCTATAGAAAATAGAAATAAACGAAAACAAAATCCAAATACACCGTTCAAAAGAACCCAGAGTTCATCTCCAGAGGGACTCGTTTTTAGCGTTTCTCGCTTAATAAATGAAGGGGGACGCTGAAATTTATGGAAAAATGAAAGTGGACTCCGTCCGCCCGCGTGCCCCCCCCCCCCCCCCCCCCCCCCCCCCCCCCCCCACCCAATTCGAGCATTGTTGTTTACTGATTTATAAAGTTTTCGTTGATAAGGAATCCAATCGAGATTAATATGGAAATTACGCATAGATGGTATTTCACATAATTTAGATTTGGATTTAAGTACTAAACCAATGTCTGATTTATTCTTTAAAATTAATTTTAAAGACCTAGATTTAATTCCAATATTTCCGAGACGAGACATTTTTGTTATTTGAATATTGTTTTCAAATTTAGACAGAATATCATTAACAATAGAATCGTCATTATTTTGAGTTTCTGATTCTGGAGCGTTGAAAATAAGTATATTATTTTCCCTTGCAGCTCGTTCTTGAGGTTCATTTATGATTTCAGAATGAATTGTATTTTTATTATTTTCAAGATCTGAGGTTTGAGATTCTAAACATGATATTTTTTCTCGAAGAAATTTATTTTCTTTTACTAAAGAATCAAGTTTTAAGTTAATAGCATTTGATACTGAGGATGTCGAAGGCCGGATACAATCAGAACATTTCCAGGAAGATGTGTTTATTTTGTTGGTGGTTGGAGATGAAATATAGCTATCATGAATATAATTTTTTTTTACATATATTACAAGAAATAGAAGGAGAATTACGATTAATGATAGTTGTACAAATTGTATTTATTATTGCGGAAGGCATAATTGTTAAATTAAAGCACCACAATACAACAATAAGAGATAAGATAGGTTACATTCGATTACACACGTCCGATCCAGGTTATTTCTTTTTACATTTTGAGAGTTAAAATATATATTATTATTATTATCACAACTCTAATCAAGTGAGAACTGTCCACCTCATGGGTTACCTAAAGACATAATCAATATTAATATACATTGTTTGATTATAAGAATATAGAAGTTTAGCTTAACATTGAAATTAATTACAAAATTAATTAAATTAAAATATGAATTAAATTGATAATAATGATTAATTGTGTGACACATTATCTAGGTTCAATTTATTTTAATTGTATTCTAATAAATTAATATAAACGTATATATTTGCCTTGGTTTTAACAACCATTTTATAGTTAATTAATGTTTTATCATTTTCAATATAGTGCTGCAGCTATGGAGGACTTTGCCCTCTGGCAGGCCCATGATGACATTCAAGACATGTACTGCACATTGCCTGATGATGATGGTGAGGCGGAATATGTTGATCTATCTCTTAATCCTGAACGGTACACAGGATACAAAGGACCTTCAGCAAATCGCGTTTGGAATACAATTTATATGGAAAATTGTTTTAGGTAAGGAATAATAATTGATAATTTGTTTTGGTGTTATTTATTTGAGAAGTAAAATTTTTAGGCCAAAAAATTTGTTTGAAGTCTACATTATTTCAGCAAAATTGACAGGTAGATATTAGATATCAAAGAACTTGTAAATTTTTTAAGTTAAATCTATTTATTTCAAATGTTATTCAGGAATGTGTTTAGAAAAACGAGCTTTTTATCGTGCCATTTCTGGTCTTCATACAAGTATTAATATACATCTCAGTGCTCAATATTTATTATCAGGTAGATATATACATTAAAAATTATTTGGTTGATTGTAAAATATCTATAATATTCCTCCATCTCATGCCTAGACAAAGGATCAACATTTTTAAACCCATGTGGTACTGGCTTTTGGGGGCCGAATGCCGAAGAGTTTGAACACAAGTTTGGCCCAAAATCCACCAAAGGTGAAGGAACTCAGTGGCTTAGAAATTTGTACTTCTTGTATCTAGTTGAATTGAGGGCTCTACAAAAAGCTGCACCTTTACTTGAACAAGTAAAATACTATACAGGAAACAATAAAGAAGATGAAACTACTCGACATGCTGTTCACAACTTTTTAGGAATTATCAAGTTAGAGTTTTTCACTATTTAATTGTATGGTTATTTACATTTTATATGATATATGTTTTTACAGGAAATTCCCACAGCAATTTAATGAGCAGACAATGTTTTTGGGTGGACAACAAGCTCAAAAATTAAAAGAAGAATTCCGTCTTCATTTCCGTAATGTATCAACAATTATGGACTGTGTTGGGTGTGAGAAATGCAGACTGTGGGGTAAATTACAAGTACAAGGATTGGGAACAGCGCTGAAAATATTATTTTCGAACAAAGCGTGGACAAATGGTTATAATGAATTATCTACAACTGTTAATAAACATACATTACAATTGGAGCGTAGCGAAATTGTTGCCCTCTTTAATGCATTCGGAAGGTGAGATAAAGAGTGATAATGTTTTCTATTATTATGCATTTATAAATAAATATATAAATTACATGTATGTATTATTTAGTTTGTTAAATACTATTATAATTATATTTTTTAAATTTCAGGTTATCAACAAGTATTTATGAAATTGAACGATTTCGAAAACTCCTTAAGTAAATAAGTTCATATTTGATAAAAAAACATCACATCTTTTTATATACTATAAATGTATATTAACGTATATTTTTTAAACTACATTGTTATCATTACATTCCTTACTGATTTTTCTTTTATATATTTTATTAAATTGAAAGTATGTTTTGTTTAATACTTTTCTAACTATTTTAATTATAATTTAATGCTGTATAAAATTAACTAAAATGATGGATGAAATGTCTAGTAGTCTCTTTTTCTTTCTTTTTTTTATTTTTTCGAGCATTTTAACAATTTAAATTCTGATAAAGTCGTGAATAATCAGCTATAAAAGCTCTCTACGTATTAACATATAGAATAGTGTATAATTTTATCAAACAAGGTCAATGTTGATCATACAATTACTGTTAAGTCAATATTTTTCATAGTCTAGTCCTTTAAATGTTTTTATCTTATAATGTCTTTTATGTTTCATGTTTAATTTGGTTAATGTATGTCCACTATGATCATTGCCATTTATATTTTATTTTTGGTTTTATTTTGTCTCAATTTTTATGTTTAATTTATCTCAAAAGTCAATCTACGAGTAGAATTAATTTTTTCCTTGCATAATTTTTTTAAATTATTGTGGTGTAAGGTTATTTGTATTATTTAATCTATATTATTTTTGTCATTCCAAAAATAATTAATATAAGTTTTAATTATCGAGAGCATGAAATTAAAGTATTTGACAAAATATTGTATAGGTTATGTAAAAATAATGGTTTACTGTGATATAGCATGAAAGGTCTGAACAAATTATCATAATAATTTACTAAGCAATGTCTAGTTTTTGTTAGAATTTGTGTGTTATTTATTTATGTGCTTATGTGTTATTTATTTAATTTATTATTTTATACAATTAAGTTAAAGTTCATGATGTATATTCATAAACAATTGAAAACTGTTATACATTTTGTTAATTAAATTTATTACACAAATATAAATTGTTTTATTTTGAACATTGCTATGATATAAAATAGTTAATATCTAATAAACATTGAATGTCATGTTATTTTAGCATACAAATTATAATTACAGTTTAGATAGTTGTAAGCACCTAAACCGGGCTGCTGTTATACTTGAAAACTAGACATTATAAGAATATTTGTACATCTCTTTCATCCATTATTCAATATGAAAAATGAACAATTTTTTTAAAAATATTTTTGAATATTTATAAATTGTATAATGCACATGTATTAAGTATATTATACATAGTATTTGTTTATTTATGTCCATATATGTATACATTTATATTACGGCAATATATATAATTATATAAAAAAAATCATAAAAATACTAATTATAATTTTCTTAGTATTTAAGAAAATGGTTTTTAAATATATCATTGGAATATAAATGTTACTGCATTTACAGAACATGACTTCATCAAAATATGTTAGCCTAAAATCCTGCCTATAAATATACTGCAATCGCATTAGTAGTTTGTCTTTTGTTCATGTCGTAGTAGCATATTTTAACTAGTTTGATTTATGACATATACTAACCATATAATTCATGTGGAACTATAAAATAAAAAGTTGTAAAGGAATGTAGATGTAAAACATATATCTACACAACATTTAAAAGTTGTAATCCTATCCTGTATCTAGAACTCTTGAGTTGGGTGCAGATGACGGAGGTACCATTCAAAAATATAGCATATTCAAGTTTCAATCCCGTTCGTCAGTCCAGTCCGAAATAATTTCACATGACATTTAAAAAAGCTGCGGGAAATTAATTTGTGATTTAATTTATACTGCATGGACAATGATAACTTTTTCTGGACTTGACATCGATTAATACTTTGTATGTTGATTATTCATAGTTAAGTACAGTAATACCATAAAACTGTTTGATTAATATTAACATTATTATAGAATAAATCTACTCAAACAATTATTATATTGCGAAAGTACTTCTATAGTAACATAAAAGTAAACCTAGTGTGTAGCTGAGCAGTGTAAGGCGCTGGTTTTAACTACCAGTTTCATTGAGGCGTAAGTTTGAATCCTGGCTCTGTCAGTTCACATCAATTTTTTAAAAAAATTAACTGATTTACTACAAAAATATTATTTACCATATAACCTATAAAGTCTAAAAATATCTTCTAATAAAATGTTATATACAAAAGATTATTAACATAAAACATCAAGATAATAATATTAATCCATTGATGTTGCATTTATTATAATAATATCATAATGTATGCACTAAATAATAATGTATATTTTTCAAAGTATATTACATAAATATTATAGGTTTCAGTATTTCTATATAAAACTTCCTTTAAGAAAATAAAAACATTTTTATTATACAAATATTATCTAATCTTATTTTTACCAACGTATTATTCAATATTTTACAATCAAAAAATGTTGATATTTTATTATGCAGTAAAAAAATACTTGATTTTAAAAACCAATTATACCAAGAAAAGGAAAATGTTGATACTATATGGGCATAATTTACTGAAAATTCAAACGAAATTGTAAGCAATCGCAAGGTTAGACAAACAAAAACCGACAAAAAAAATTATTATAGACATCTTTATTTTGAAATTTTCGACAGTATACAAACTCAAATTAATATCCATTTCAAATCGTTTGAAAAATTGCAATATTTTAATTAATTTATCCTACAAAAATTAAATGTTTTGGGAAAAAGGATAAATTTCCATCTAATTTACTTAAAAATTTACAACACATTTATGGCGATTTTTTTAACTATGGTAAACTACAAAATAAACTTCATGTATGCTACACCTTAAACGAATCATCCCATACAAGTTCTATTGAAATTATGAATTATCTTTCTGAAATGAGCTTAAATATTTAATGGTATAAAAATCAAATTATTTAACTTACATAAAATATCTTAAAACCTTAAAATCATATGACAATAATTAACTAATAATAATAAACTCTTCGGCATAAAAGAGATTTATACTTATAAGTACGAGTACATTCACATAATATTATGATCTATCATTTTTGACAGTTAATAATTGAGTAAATATAGTAGGAGTCGATTTTGAACTGTTATAGCCATTATAATAAACAGATAATGTTAAATGTTGAACGGGTTTTAAATGTTTTAACAAATTTTCATTCAACTAAAAAAAAAAAAAAATAATTAAATGATTTATATACTTTATTTACAAATATCTTATTTTATTTACAATAGTTATTTTTAATATTTATAAATTAATACTTAAGTAAAAAATATACTTTTCTCTAATTGTTGTATACAGTTTTGATTAAATCGTATGTTTTTAAATTCTTTGTATAATGAATACAATTAAAACAAAAATTAGTATTACAAAATACACTATATTCTAATTTCAAATTCACTATAGTATTTAGCCTTAAAACTTCTGAATTCCAAATTTTATTAGTGGAAATATCTAGGAAAAAAAATTCTTCTATATTTTCTTTGTTAAACAAAATATTGTAACACAATATATTAAAACATTTTAATACATTATGTTATTAATCAAGAATCGAGTTATTTCTTGTCTTATTCTTATTCAAATTAATTTTTATTTACTTGAAGTTTAGGTTGCTTTTAACCGAATAAATATCACACAAATCATCAGACTGTATATTCAAATTTAAAACATGATTGTTCAGTTCAATTTTTATCATAATGTTCATGGTTACATATTTATTTTGCTTTTGATTCATCAAAATGAATCTCGACAGTATTGTCAAAATAATTTATTCGTGTTGATATACTTTTCTTTATTTTGTTTTTTATTTTCAAAATTGACACTTAAAATTAATCTAATTACTTATCATGTTTTTGTCTATGTAAGTAATATTAGAAGAATTACTTCTACACAAAAAGAGTACTGTATCACTACAGGTAGGTTACATATAAGTACTGACAATACTGTACATAATATGTATTCATGTTATTAAATATAATATTAAAACAAATGAAAGATAGTACTTAGATGATGCAATTCATCCTCTATTATTAAAGTACTTGATTGATAATTGATTAATAATAAAACAATGAGTTAATTAATACTAAATAATGTCCATGCTAGAAAAACGCCCAAAATTTGAATTAGGCTGATTAGAACACGATATTAAAGAGACGCGCTGTAGTGTCCTGTGTATCTTAATACGTAGAAAGGGCCGCGGAAAGAATAAAAAAAAAGAAAATCTCTTAATATGAATACATTGGCAACACAAGCCCTTAACAACTTGCTTGGAAATAATTACGTGAAGCATCAGGATTTTCAAAAAAATTTGAATGAGAAATAGTGCATTCATGTTACAAAAAACAAAAAAAATCACTATTTTTATCCTTTTATTTTCGCACACGCTAAAAGAAAAATAGTCAGAAATATTTAAAAATGATTAAATAGAAATGGATATTCAAGTTAGGGTGAATAGAAACCATAAAATCTATAACACACCTTAGTATATCATCGCTTAATGTTTTTATATAATTAAAAAAAACTTTTACATTTAAATAATTTTTTTTTGGCGGCACACTGCAACGGAAACAATGATAAGGCAGATAATCTGTCCAATTTTACTTGTCATATTCTATTTGTGTTTGTTAAATATTTTCATTCATACAAATTATATTTTTTTGTAATTTCTGCTTAGAGTACGTATAATTATTAATATTATATATATAAAAAAAAAAAAATAAATAGAGTTATAATTTATTTTTCTATACTTCTCAAAAAATAATTGATTACCTATATTAAAACATTTTAATTATTTTCTTTATAACAGTAAACAGCCAAAATCTAGGATCCGATCCAGAGTGAAACAAACTTATGAGAGATAAACACATAAGTACTTACTTACTCCCAAAAATAGAGGTACATCGTTTTTCTTTTAAATAACAACTGTAATTATATTTAAATAAATTAAATTTATGTTTTTATAGATACTATTTTAATTTTATTATATTATATATTATATTTAATTATAATTTAATTTATAATTAATCCATTGCCTTTTTAAAACTTATAATAATTAAGTATTCTTGGTTAGGTAAATAATATTTTTCCATTCAATATTCATTTAAATTATTAATACTATATATTGGGGTAGTCTTTATTTATATAGGTGAAAT